TTTTTATTGTTTTGAATAATTTTATCATTAATATACTTATTTTCAGAACTATTTCAATTTTTATTTCATACTTATGTTTATATAAATTATAAATTAAAAACATATCAAAAATGTAATACATATTAATAAAATGCAAATACATATAGAAAATTAATTATAAAATGTCATCTTAAAATAGTTTTTATTTTTGTTCTTTATTTACATATGCATACATATACAAAAAAATAAAAATAATATGATAGCCTTTTTGCTGACATTATCTCTCAATATTTGCATCCGTGTGCTCACGTATTAGTGTTTGTACCTACATGGACGCTACTACATATGCGATGTAAGAGAGACAAAGATGGAATGATGCTCTCTCCTTGTCAAGCAGTCAGCATGTTACCACAGAAATTTCCCCTGCTCCTTATGAATCTAGTGAGAATCTTATCGTCCAGATATTTCATAAAATAAGTGACATAACTTCGTGAATTTTTTTTTAATATATTCTTTATATAATAAAGCAGTCCTCTAAAAGGCCGGATTTTACATTTTCGCTCTTAAAAATTTATAATAAATAAAATACGGACTCGCGGCTAACCCAACCTTACCCGTTCCTAGCTGTGCATTCCCCCAAGTTTATTAAAAATTTTTATTTTTATCTTTTTTTCATAAAATAGCTCTTTAGAGGACTACAAATGAGCTTACTGATTAAGAATATCCTAAATTTAATAAGATTCATTCAATATTTTCGCTAATATCTGGAAAATAAGAATCCGTAATTCCCGGCCGGCCGATAGGCGTCTCCACCATGTCGCCTGCCGACCCTTAATATAAACGTTTGGTTTAATACTCTTTGTATTATATTGAATAAAAAACATTGGCCACAATAATGGCTTCGGCTCTCAGCCCTTCTTTCTTTTGTTGTATTTTAATCTTACGAGCCTTTTGATTTAAGTTTGTTTTAAATTATTTTTACTTTTTTCAATTATTATAAATTATTAAATGTTTTTTATTTGCTTTTTTATTTTTTTACTTAATTATTTTTTTTATTTGTAGACAAATCTTTTATTAGTTTGTTGCGTCAATCTGTCGTTGCACTGTTAGTGACAGATCTGCTCTGGTGTTACACCCAACTTGATGTTAAGATATTTCAATTTTTGATTGCAATTGAGGCGCACTCGAGGACACAGTAGGCCTTGGATTTGCAGCCGTATTAAGGTGCCTTTTCATACGCAACATGCTGCAGCAGCAAATCAGTCACGTGATCAAAATTTATTAGAACATATTTCTTCGTTCTCTTATTATTTCAAGGTTAAAATTACGATTTTTGCTTTTATATTCTCATAATAATCTATTTCATTTTTAAAATCCATTATTTAACTAATATAATAATAATAATAATTAGAATCAACTAGTTGTGTGTGCATGTTCTTCTGCTTTGCTGCCTTTGCTGTTCGTTGAACTTCATTAATAGCAACAAACTGCTGCAGCAGCATGCTAAAATGATACCTTTTGGCAGAAAATTTCCCGATTGTTAACAATTCTCAAGCAAATGATTAGCTGGGTAGAGATAGACTACCCAATCGGCTATGTGATAGGAAGAATTGAAAAGGAGAGTATATGCGCATTTGTCTCTTCTTTCATTCTCCGCCAGCCGCGATATCTCCTCTCTTTCAACTGTGCAGGAGAGAGTTTCTCGCTTATCCTTCTCTAGCTTACAGTGTGGTTAAGAGTGGGAGGATAGCATACCATGGAGAGTCCAAGCACAAAGTAGTAAACAAAAGGCTAGAAAGCATGGGCGTCCGCAGGATTTTTTCCAGGAGGGGGCATAATTAGATTTTTTAATTTTTTGTTCTTAATTTTTTCAAATTTTATTTTTCTATTTTGATTTTTTATATTAAATATGCAAATAAATTCCAGTTTACTCAAAAAGAGAGCAAATGCTTAATTTTTTTACTGAATCCAAGGGAAGGATAGAGAGATGCCCTTTTGCTCCCTTCCACGGTTGCCCATGCTAGAGTGTTGGCAGCACTATACTGCTCGATTCTTTAGCATGCTCTCTTCTTTGTCACCATAGTGACCCTCAAGCTTCTGGCCAATAACGTACACAGAAATTAAATTTCCCAGGCACTTAAAAATTCAGCTTAATTTGCTGTTTTATAATATCCAAATTTCGGAATTTGTTCTATTTTACTGTTTTATAAATAAATAATAAAGTTAATAACAATATAAATGTTAAAACAAACGAAAATGATTAGAATTCATAGGTTCTCAAGGCACATAAAAATTGCTCCATTTTTGTTTTAATTTGCTCCACCTTTAAATATTAATCATTCATAGTATTTATTAAGAAAAAAAATTTTAAACTTTATACGTTTAACAGGAGTTAAGAAATTGTGCGCATGCGCAAAAGTATATAGCACATGCGTAACTGAAATTGTGTGCCATTATTTAAATTATTTATTTTAAACTTCCAGCCAGTATATAAGTATATAAGCCAGTATAATATGAAGCAAATTCTGAAATATAGATATTGTAGAAGAGTAAGTTAAGCTGAATTTTTTGATGCCTGGGAAAGGACGGGAGAGACTCAGTTGCGCACAGTACAATTGCCCACATTGCAATTGTCTACAGTGCTATTGGACACATAAGATTACGCACAGTTCTTTTCCACATACTCCTTCCACGCATGCTACCCAGCGGGGGGGTGCGGAAGGGGGGGGGAGAAGGGGACCGAAGGTCGGGGGAAGAAGGCGCGCGCGTGTGTGTGTGTGTGTGTGTATGTAGGTGTGGAAGGGGTATGCGTAAAAGAACTATGCGCAAAAGAACTGTGCGCAATCTTATGTGTTCAATAGCACTGTGGGCAATTGCAACGTCGGCAATTGTACTGTGCGCAAATAAAGGATTTTTAATTTCTGTATACGTTACTGGCTAGGAGCAAGTTTTGGATACTTAAATAAATTTTTTTTTAATAAATACTATAAATAATTAATATTTAAAGGTGGAGCAAATTAAAACAAAAACGGTGCAATTTTTCTATGCCTTTAGAAACAAATGCCTATAAATTCTAATAATTTTTATTTTTATTTGACGTTTACATTGTTGTTAATTTTATCATTTATTTATAAAAAAGTAATATAAAGCAAATTCTTAAATATAGATATTATGGAAGAGCAAATTAATCTGAAATTTGTTCTGCCTAAAAATTTAATTATTACGTGTGTCACTGGCTGAAATTAAGAAAATGGCGCGCAATTTCTGTTACGCATGCGCTATATACTTTTGCGCATGCGCATAATTTCTCAACTCCCGTTAAACGCATAAAGTAGTTTTTAATTTTTTTCTTAATAAATACTATGAATAATTAATATTTAAAAGTGGAGCAAATTGAAACAAAAATGAAGCATTTTTTTGTGCTTTGAGAATCTATAAATTCTAACGATTTTTGTTTGTTTTGACATTTATATTGTTATTAACTTTATTATTTATTTATAAAAAAAAAATAAAATGGAGCAAATTATGAAATTTGGATATTATGAAAGAGCAAATTAAGCTGAATTTTTTGGTGCCTGGAAAATTTAATTTCTGTGTACGTTACTGGCTAGGAGCTTGAAGGTACCATAGTGCTTATAATAATGGAGGGGCTTTTTCTTTATGCGAACAAATGCAAGTTCCACGCGAGGATTGACAGATATGGATATATTCTGTCTGAACTGTGCCTCCCTTCCCCATTCTGTACTATCTTTCTAAGAAGCGCATGAAGAGAAGACAACCATGTACCTATTTCTAGTTTTTATTTTTATATCTTATTATATTTTATTTGTCGATTTTATTGTTATTCTTTAATAATATTATTATATTATCTTCTTTAATTATATCAAGAAATTTAAGCATGAAATAACTTTTACAAAGAAATAAAATTGAACAAGGTTCCGTACCGCATAGTTACAGACCTATACGGCCACAGTTGAGACAGAAAACTATCTCTCTCTTCTGTAAACCTCGTGCGCGCCATGGCCTCTTTAGTATAAGCTCTATGTTTGTCACGCACTGGTCTAACGCTCATTCTAGTTAGTATATACAGGGTGTCCGGTAATTCGCGCCCTATCCGTCAGGTGCAGATAGAACAGATTATATAAACCTAGTAGAAAAGTCCTCTACCATTTTTCGATATTTACAATAATTAATAAGAAATTGATTAAAAAGATCGGCTAATTTGCGCTACAAGCGCGCGACGAGAAGAGACAGCCCAGTCTTATACGGTTACCAAGTATACGGCAAAAAGAAACAGTATAATATTACGCGATTGCTAAGCGCGGGGAGGAGCAGTCGACAAAAGATAACATTTACAAGTATCGCATAATGTTGGACCTCCGAGTGAGCTATCTCTTCTATTAGGTTTAACCTAACTTTAACGGGGAGCACACACTTTTGCATACGCGCATAAGCGTAAATATGAGAATCTTAATTGGTCTATAAACATATGTATAAGAAATTCAACCAATCGAATTTCTTATGCATATGCTTATGCAAGAGTGTGTGCTCCCCGCTTTTACCTGCATCTGACTGGTGAGGCGCGAATTATCGGACACCCAGTATATTGTAGTGGAAAATTCTACTAGAGAGAGGGGCACAGCCTTTCTATTCTTCAAAGCCTGAAGTTATAACTATAGATCTAGATTTAGTTTTAGACATCTATGATCAACATTGTACGTACATGTGCAGTGTATTATGTTTCGTTACATAAAAAGCAATCACAATATATGTATAATCTACTGGCATATTGCATTTATATTTTGTTTGTCGAAAAATATTTAAATAAATGTATTTTTAATAAAATCTGAAATAAGCAAGTTTAACTTTAATTTTAAATATTTATCTATTAATCGATTACAAAAAAATTATTATTTTTCATAATCGATTGTTTTGTTGAATAGCGATTCTGTTTTTCGACATTGCCTATCCAATATGACCGACTGAGTTGATTGCACGTTAGCACCGACGAGGTATTCGGTGGCATTAGTCAGCAGTCAGTCTCGACGTGGTCTCGCCGCCATCTTATGTAACAGATGTAGTTTAACCGTTGAGCGATCGTGGTCAGCATTGTGCGCGAACGTACTTGTAAGGTAGTTCCGAATTGTTTGCTGGTGACATATTCGTTTCTCCTGATAAAATAATGTTATACTGTATCATAGGAATGTGATTACAGTATAATATTGGTGGTTTTAAATCAATATACCATATTTATGTTCTTCCCATCAATGTATCGACACTACATTCAGGTACAGAATACCGATTTTCTTATTTTGATTTTTTTATTCTTTTCTTTCAATTTAATAAATAATGTCTTATACAAAATGTATATATATGATATGCTTCTCGTTCAAGTTAATATAAATCAGATCTCGCATTATATTGAACTAGATGTACAACATTAACACATGCTTGCATTTTATCAAAATTTCAATAGATTACTTTTATATCTACAATGTCTATTTATTGTCATTACATAGTTAGATTTTCTGTTCTTTTATCAGAAATATAAACAATCTCTTCTGATAAAAGCAATTGTTTTATATTACTTTAATCAATAGTCAATGTGCTAATGTTGCGGTGCAAAGTTTTTCAAATTAAGTTTAACTAAATAACTTGCTTGTGTAAACATTTTAAAGCATTGATTTCTAATTAATAAATTTCAATAATTTGATATGTTACAGAAGGAGTAATCATACTATAAGCATTGTGATATGGCTAGAGTTCTACTATACGAGAGAGTAGTGGATGCTGTACTCACACGCACAAGTCCATCGGTAAGTACTTCTATAATTATATAAATATATGGCCAGCAAATTTTTATTGAGATTTTTAGATCTTTTAAAATATATCTATGTGCATATGCAGTTAAAGATTTTATTTACATTCTAACATTGAACATTTTAATTGCATACATGTTGATTATATGTGTGCCGCAAGTATTTCTGGATATAAGACTGAATCTTAAACGACAATAGACTTTAGATTTAATAAAATTTGTTTAGATATTCAAGTATTTATTTGTAATTAAATATTTATATTTGTTATACAATATCTTTAAAATCAAAGAAAATCAGTTTATATGTTTAATTACTTGTATTATGCTCATGTTTATATAGCATACATAATGTAGCATAATGTATCATGTTTTAATTTTCTTATTTCTAACTTTGTTATATGAAAAAGTTTTTTTATTTTTTACATCTAAAATTACTCCTTAATAATAATCATTGTTCTTAAATGCTATTTTTGCTATTAAAAGTTTTGATAATTGATACATAATATAAAAATGAATTTTTCTCACAAAGTAGATTGTCATAACAGGGGGTCAAAGAGGAACATAGGAATTAAAATTTTAAATTGAGATTCCTAATTTATTCCTAAATAGTCTTTTTTTTTGTGCTTTCAAATTAATGAGTCATTGTGTTGAATCATTGTATGAATCATTGTGTGAATTATTGTATGAATCATTGTGTGAATCATTGTGTTGTCTAAAGACCATTACAGCATGTCAGCATACTTGTTTAGGTTAGGTTAGTAAAGTTTGCGACAGTCGGTATAGTAGAAAACTGCTAAAGAATCTTTATCACGTAGATTCCTACTTTACTATCATAACATAAATGTAGATCTTATTGTAGGTTCCAGTTTAGGTCTTAGTAAGGTTATACATATATAAGAAGGTTAAGACATCTTATTAGTCTATGTATTTCTCACATTTATCCATGATGCATTGCGTGATTTGAAATGCATGGTGATATATTGATGTTAGTTGTATTGTAAAAAAAATAGATAATTGAAATTGGAAAAATACAACACTATTTTGTTAATTAATTTATTTATATGTCCTATTCATCAATATTTATATTTTTTAGTATATTAATAACTTAACCTAACCCCTAACCTAACCTTACCTAACTTGTCAATCCACAGCCGCGCACATCGACTACGGTTGTGCGCAGGCGCACGTCGCAGAACATCATGGGTAGCTGTGGGAGATGTGTTAACTTTTTTATATACAGGGTGTCCCATTTTAATGTACCAGTCGAAATAACTTCGAGGGTGATGGTTTTATCAAAAAATGTTTCAGACGAAAGTTACTGGGTTTGAAGGGGGTCGTCCATCGGTGACCTTGACTTTGACCTTGAAGTCAAATTTGAAGGTTATTTCAGGATCAAATTGTGAATTTTAAATGGAAACCCCAATTTTTTATTCGGGATATCGAAAGAGCGGGAAATTTCACGTCCAAACACGTGGTCATGTTTGGGCCAAAATGTCCTCTAACAACATTACAAGGTCAAACGAATGGAGCGGTGCTTAAGAATATTGTATGCAGATGCGTAAAAAATAATAGTTGCAAGGATCACAGGGGTGCGTCGAATGGTGACCTTGACCTTGATGTTGAGGTTAAATTTGAAGGTTATGTCAAGGTCGAAGTATTTTTTCTTGTCATCAAATGGAATGACGTACGACCTTCTCGAATATGACGTTAAAAAACCGTAGTCACTTTTGCATGAATTTTACGTTAAATACGTTTCTCTCGTTGCAACGCACATACGTTAAAAAATTCCATTAACCTAAATAGATCTTTCGGAGGTTAATGACATCAACTAAACTCAGGACGACCCTCGGCTTCAGCTTTACCCGATGTACACCACGTGGAGGTAGCCGATGTACACCACGTGGAGGTAGCCGATAGGAGTTTGTACATCATGTGGCCCTGAAAAGGGCCGTTTGAATTCGTGTGTGTGTGTGTGTGTGTGTGTGTGTGTGTGTGTGTGTGTGTGTGTGTGTGTGTGTGTGTGTGTGGTCGTGATTTCATCCGGCCGGTCAAGGCAAGATAATGATCAAGACGTATCAAGTCTGCGTGATCTATTTTACGGGCTCAATTAATTGCCCGTTGACTTCAATGCATTTCCTGATCCTCTTTTGAAACGAACCCCTTACTCTGTGAAGAATTTCAGGGGTTATTGAAGCACATGCATCGCGAATGCGGGTTTTCATATCCTCAACTGTTGTAGGTTCTTCAGCGTAAACCTTTTCTTTAATGTATCCCCAAAAAAAGAAATCCAACAGTGTCAAATCTGGTGACCGTGGAGGCCACATTTGTGTTTGGCTTCCAAGACCTATCCACCTATTTGGGAATCTCACATTTAAATAATCTTTCACCCGCCGTGATCGATGAGCAGGCGCTCCATCTTGTTGGAACCACATTCTTTGACGAATATCAAGAGGTACATTTTCCAACAGCAGCGGTAGTTCATTTTCCAGAAAATGTAAATAGTTCTCTCCGTTTAAATGGTTGTCAAAGAAAAATGGCCCAATAATGTAGTCTCCGACAATACCGGCCCAGATATTAATAGACCATTGTCTCTGGAACTCTTGAGATCGCGTCCAATAAGGATTGAAATCAGAGTAATAGTGACAATTGTGTCTATTAAGTCCGCCTCGGTTTGAGAAGGTTGCTTCGTCACTAAACATTATTTGTTCGAGGAGCCCTGGATTTTCCTGGATCTGATTTTGTATCCAGTTGCAAAATTGTACACGGCGAGGAAAATCTCCTTGTTCGAGCTTGTGAAGAAGTATTATGCTGTAAGGGTGGAAGCTATTACTTTTGAGGATACGGTTTGATGTCGATCTTGGAACTCCGTACTGCCTTTCGATCTGCCTGGTCGAAATTTGCGGATTGACAACCGCAGCACCTACAACAGTTATTGCTACGCCTTCATCAGGGCCTGATTTTGAACGCACCCTTTTCAGATTACCTTGCCTAGCTCTCTCACAAAGAGTGCGTATCGTCTTCCTAGTAGGATGACGTCTTAGCGGAAATCTCTCAGAGTATACTAGACGTACTGCCGCGCTATAATTGTTTCCCGCTTCCCCGAGAACTGAAATCATGTCCACTATTTCGGTCGGCAAGTAGTCACTCATTGCTATGAACTACGCGAGACAAAAAAATGTAGAACGTTATTACCTATGCCTACATGTACTTTTCAAACGGTACAAAATATGTGTACAAGGTAGTCAAGAAATAATCACTTGTTACTATGCTCTTGCGTTACTCTTGACTACCCATATTTGTAGTTGTACAAGGTAGTCAAGAAATAATCACTCGTTACTATGCTCTTGCGTCACTCTTGACTACCCATATTTATAGTTGTACAACGTTCTACATTTTTTTGTCTCGCGTAGTTCATAGCAATGAGTGACTACTTGCCGACCGAAATAGTGGACATGATTTCAGTTCTCGGGGAAGCGGGAAACAATTATAGCGCGGCAGTACGTCTAGTATACTCTGAGAGATTTCCGCTAAGACGTCATCCTACTAGGAAGACGATACGCACTCTTTGTGAGAGAGCTAGGCAAGGTAATCTGAAAAGGGTGCGTTCAAAATCAGGCCTTGATGAAGGCGTAGCAATAACTGTTGTAGGTGCTGCGGTTGTCAATCCGCAAATTTCGACCAGGCAGATCGAAAGGCAGTACGGAGTTCCAAGATCGACATCAAACCGTATCCTCAAAAGTAATAGCTTCCACCCTTACAACATAATACTTCTTCACAAGCTCGAACAAGGAGATTTTCCTCGCCGTGTACAATTTTGCAACTGGATACAAAATCAGATCCAGGAAAATCCAGGGCTCCTCGAACAAATAATGTTTAGTGACGAAGCAACCTTCTCAAACCGAGGCGGACTTAATAGACACAATTGTCACTATTACTCTGATTTCAATCCTTATTGGACGCGATCTCAAGAGTTCCAGAGACAATGGTCTATTAATATCTGGGCCGGTATTGTCGGAGACTACATTATTGGGCCATTTTTCTTTGACAACCATTTAAACGGAGAGAACTATTTACATTTTCTGGAAAATGAACTACCGCTGCTGTTGGAAAATGTACCTCTTGATATTCGTCAAAGAATGTGGTTCCAACAAGATGGAGCGCCTGCTCATCGATCACGGCGGGTAAAAGATTATTTAAATGTGAGATTCCCAAATAGGTGGATAGGTCTTGGAAGCCAAACACAAATGTGGCCTCCACGGTCACCAGATTTGACACTTGGATTTCTTTTTTTGGGGATACATTAAAGAAAAGGTTTACGCTGAAGAACCTACAACAGTTGAGGATATGAAAACCCGCATTCGCGATGCATGTGCTTCAATAACCCCTGAAATTCTTCACAGAGTAAGGGGTTCGTTTCAAAAGAGGATCAGGAAATGCATTGAAGTCAACGGGCAATTAATTGAGCCCGTAAAATAGATCACGCAGACTTGATACGTCTTGATCATTATCTTGCCTTGACCGGCCGGATGAAATCACGACCACACACACACACACACACACACACACACACACACACACACACACACACACACGCACACACACACGAATTCAAACGGCCCTTTTCAGGGCCACATGATGTACAAACTCCTATCGGCTACCTCCACGTGGTGTACATCGGGTAAAGCTGAAGCCGAGGGTCGTCCTGAGTTTAGTTGATGTCATTAACCTCCGAAAGATCTATTTAGGTTAATGGAATTTTTTAACGTATGTGCGTTGCAACGAGAGAAACGTATTTAACGTAAAATTCATGCAAAAGTGACTACGGTTTTTTAACGTCATATTCGAGAAGGTCGTACGTCATTCCATTTGATGACAAGAAAAAATACTTCGACCTTGACATAACCTTCAAATTTAACCTCAACATCAAGGTCAAGGTCACCATTCGACGCACCCCTGTGATCCTTGCAACTATTATTTTTTACGCATCTGCATACAATA